AATATTTGCAACTTCCCAGCGCCTTTCAGAGGCAAAGGCCCGTGGTTCCTGTACACATTTTGCGTCTTGTGGCCCAGCTTTCCTGGCCAAAGCTGAGCGGACCAGGGATTAGTGACTGATTCAAAAGCTGCCATCTGTAGGTTAGACAACAGCCAATGAGATGTCCTCATGCAAGAGACTGGCAGGAAAAGGGCGCCCTCTACAGGATGGGCTCTCGCTGACCCAGTCTGACTGCTACAGATACTAGAATCATCAGTCAGAAGAGAAGTCAAGACAGTCACAATAAAGAGAGATGCCTAGAGTCTGCAGCAAAAGGCACTTTCTGCTGAGAGGACAGTAAATAACCAGGTATTTGCCTTGTATCTCAAATGCCTGTTGGTTTTCTTGAGTTCCTACTGTTTTCTCTGTGTAACCTTCTAGTAAGTCCTCATTGACTGAGGAAGCTAGAACTCGCTTTCCTGACACCTGCTGAGAGTCCCCAGAACCTGTGAATATCAGCTTATGTGACAAAAGGGACTTTGAAGATGTGATTTAAATTAAGGATCTTGAGATGGGCCGGGCTCGGTGGCTCAAGCCTGTAATCCCAGCACTTTGGGAGGCTGAGGCGGGTGGATCACGAGGTCAACAGATCGAGACCATCCTGGTCAACATGACGAAACCCCGTCTCTACTAAAAATACAAAAAAATTAGCTGGGCATGGTGGCACATGCCTGTAATCCCAGCTACTCAGGAGGCTGAGGCAGGAAAATTGCCTGAACCCAGGAGGCGGAGGTTGCGGTGAGCCGAGATCGTGCCATTGCACTCCAGCCTGGGTAACAAGAGCGAAACTCCGTCTCAAAAAAAAAAAAGGATCTTGAGATGGAGAGACGATCCTGAATTATCCCTGTGGGCCCAGTGTAACCACAAGGGTCCTTATAAGAGGGGGCAGGAGGGTCAGAGTAAGTAGTAGGAGATGTGACCACCGAAACAGGAGGTTGGAGTGATGCAAGGACTGCAGGCAGCCTGCAAAGCTGAAAACAGCAAGAAAGTGTATTCTGTTCTGAAGCCTCCAGAATGAGCCATTACTGCAAACACTTGGCTAAATCTCAGTGAAACTGATGTTGGACTTCTGGCCTCTGGAACTATAAGATAATACATTTGTGTTGTTCCCCTCCCCCCCTTTTTTTTTTGAGACAGAATTTTGCTCTTGTTGCCCAGGTTGGAATGTAATAGCGTGATCTTGGCTCACCATAACCTCTGCCTCCCGGGTCCAAGTGATTCTCCTGCCTCAGCCTCCTGAATAGCTGGGATTACAGGCATGCACCATAAAGCCCAGATAATTTTGTATTTTTAGTAGAGACAGGGTTTATCCATGTTGGTCAGGCTGGTCTCGAACTCCCGACCTCAGGTGATCCACCCGCCTTGGCCTCCCAAAGTGTTGGAATTACAGGTGTGAGCCACTGCACCCACCCACATTTGTGTGGTTTTAAGCCACTAAATTTGTAGCATTTTGTTACAGCAGCCACAGGAAACTAATATGCCAACAGACAGACTAAGCCAGAGGTCAGCATTTTTTGTGTTCTTTCATTGAAGAAGGCAGACAATACCTTAAGCACTTAACGTTCTCCCTATTAGCATTGTGACAAGTTCTCTGATGTGCTTTGAACAGGTCGTTATATTTTGCCAGAGGCATATAAGGGAGAAAATGGGAAACTAGGCATTGAATAAAAATGACAAGAGTTGCCAGTGGGGCCACAGTTACTCAAAAAACACACCGTAAGAGTGATCTTTGTGGCTAGGTGCAGTGGCTGACGCCTGTAACCCTAGCACTTTGGGAGGCCAAGGCAGGCAGATCGCTTGAGGCCAGGAGTTCAAGACCAGCCTGGGCAACTTGGTAAAACCCCATCTCTACTAAAAGTACAAAAAAATTATCTGGGTGTGGTGGTGCACACTTGTGGTCCCAGCTACTCAGGAGGCTGAAGTGGGAGAGTTGCTTGAACTTGGGAGGTGGAGGTTGCTGTGAGCTGAGATCACACCATTGCACTCCAACCTAGGCATCAGAGTGATAGCCTGTCTGAAAAAAAAGGAGCAGTCTTTGTAAGGAGAAAGAATTTGACATTATATTTTTAAAACTACTAATGACAATGAAAACGGATAAGAAACTGGTAAAACTGAAACCACACTTCACCCAGGGCTGTACCCATCACACCATCATTTTTCATTAATTCAAAATCTGTCTGTAGAGATATCTCAATGCTCTTGTTAATTACTTCTTTCAAGGCATTCTCCTCATTGTAAGTGAGCACACACCTGGGTACCATCCTATAAGTACGTTAATGACTATATGCAACATCCTGAGCCAAGTACTTATACACGTAAACTGGCTTTCTGGTGCACCTTTCAACTCTCCCATGATAACTTCTAGAGAACACTGTGCCAGGTAGGCATGCCTGTCATCATCAATAAAGACCCAAGTGACGATTCTTTTCTGTAAGGATACAAGTTCAGTCAGCTCATTCCACTAGTTCCTCAGAAAAGGCTTTCTGCTGCCAAAGAAAATAAAGCCTTTTTAAAAAAACACAACAGGTTTCTACTCACGTGGTATATTTTAGAATAAATGCATTTTAAAGGCAAGGACAAGGTTTTTGTACATACTTTATTTATCCCTTAGTAAGCTGAATATGACTAGTAAAGAAATGTTTATGCTATAGTAATAAGGATTATTCTGATAATTACTGTATTGATTGGTTTTTTTGTTTTGTTTTGTTTTTTGGTTTTGTGTTTTTTTTTTTTTTTTTTTTTTTTTTTTTTTTTTTGAGACCGAGTTTCGCTCTTGTTACCCAGGCTGGAGTGCAATGGCACAATCTCGGCTCACCGCAACCTCCACCTCCTGGGTTCAGGCAATTCTCCTGCCTCAGCCTCCCAAGTAGCTGGGATTACAGGCACGTGCCACCATGCCCAGCCAATTTTTTGTATTTAGTAGAGACAGGGTTTCACCATGTTGACCAGGATGGTCTTGATCTCTTGACCTCATGATCCACCTGCCTCGGCCTCCCAAAGTGTTGGGATTACAGGCGTGAGCCACCACGCCTGGCCCCGTATTGATTGTTTTGATAATTACTGTGTTCTTAGTTGCAGACCACAGAATTCACTCTAGCTAGTTTCAATGGAAAGGGACTACAGCGGGGTATTAGGTAGCTTACGGGATTTCCAGCAGTGTCAGAGAAACAGGCTAGGATACCACACAGCCAGAAACAACCCCAGCAGGAATGCCCAGCCATGAACAGGACTGTTCTCACAGAAGCCCCACTGCTGCTGCTCACCAGTCAGTACCTGTGATGCCAGGGGCCGGACGCTGGAGCTTCTCTCAGAGCTCTTTCCCAGCCATGTCTGTGAAAAGACGGACCCACCTACATGTGCCGCCACTTCACTTAAATGACTGTCATCTTCCTGGGGCACATAGGCATCTGCTGGGCAGAACTGGGTCACAGGCAGAACCCTAGCTACAAAAGGGTCCAGGCACTGCAGGTTTTAGAAATGGTTAAAGCAGATGTTGTGTGGACCCATCCGTGGAATCTGCCACAATGACCATATGGATTTCAGGCAATTTGTGTGTTAAAATGATGGTAATCATGAGAGTTATATGAGAATTAATAGCTAGCAATTTCCAGTGCTTTCTAGTGCTTAATATCTTCTAAGCATGATCTCACCTAATCTTCAAAGCAGCCCTATGAGGTAAGTACTTATTTGTATCTTCAGATTGTAAGTGAAAACACTGAAGGAGCAGCAAGGTTAATTCACTCACCCGACATCTCATGGTAGAAAAGCCAGGATTCGAACTCCAATCTGTCTGAATGAAAGCCTGCGCTTTCAGCTAGTATACTGCTAATGCTTTGCTAATTATTATTTTTAGTTCATCTGCGAGGGGCAGCTTGACTAGCGAATCTGGGTTTCCCATTTCTGGAAGACTTTGTATCCACACTGGGACTCTGATACTTGTGTAACTGGAAATGGAAATGAGATCTTCTGAATGTGGACTGCAAAGGAGAGGTCAGCTTCTTGCTGTTTTACTTTTTCACCAGTAAGCAACAGGCAGGAAATAAACGGCTTTCCCTCACATTCCCCACTTTGAGACTCTCACTACACTTTTAGTGGGAGTTCTCACCTTTATTATCACTGTCTGGGTTCTCCTGTGGAACTGACTGATAGTGATTCATATAGTACACCTGTGCCAAGGTCTTTTGCTGGACCGCAGTAATAAAAGTTTTCATTATTTGCAGAAACAAGGCTAACAAGGAAGGAGCAAGCATGTCCCAATTAATAGCAGCACACCTATGATGAGGGTTTTGACTCCTCCAATAGCTGGAAACCATTGTCCAAACATAGACCAATTTATGGTAAACCTGCACGGGCACATGTGCCAATTTTGACGTGTCCTTTGCAATGTTTTTAACTACCTGACCTTTATTATTTATCTGCAGATAATTAGTTAAGTTGAATTTTCCATATACCCCTCCCTTCCCTTGACTGCCAGTAGTTAAGTTTAAGGCCAGGTGATTTTGATATACAACATTTTTTATCTGCATTTTTATCTGTTGAGCTAGAAAAGTTAAAGCTTTGTCAGTTTTATTAGTTGTTACCTTCAAGACAGCTTGTACTTGAATGATTCCATTGAGCATGTAAATTGGGGTACGGTTACCCCATGAGCCTTCCTCCGCCCAGGTGGCAGTTCCATAGTACTGTATTAGTATCTTGGGAGGCCACTATCTTTTTTGAAATTGCCTATGGCTAGGCTTTATTTATCCCGAGAGCTATAAGCAGGGAAACCCAGTAATTCCCCAGTTTTTATAGGTAGCCAAAATGAGGAAGGTTTAGAGGGTTTGTAACAAACATAAGCTGCCCATCGCCGGGACTACACACCTTATACTGAGTAGCATTATCTAAGCATGTTCCTTTTAGGGTTTCCTTGCATTTAGAATAGCTACAGAAAAGCAGGACCATAGTAAAATTTTTCCCCCCTACCTTGGTGATCTGATGTATACGGGCATAAGTCCATAGTTTGAAGAAAGGAGTGTTTGTCCCACATTGAAAGTCTTCGTGCTTCGGCCGTGGGTAGACCAGTCAGCTTCCAGGGTGTGACTGGAGCAGGGCTTGCTGTCTCAGCTCTCCTTAAGGTGATCTTGCATGGGTTACGGAGAGCTGGCTTTATTTCCCAGGCGTCTGGTGCTGCAGGTTTTACACGGCTGTGATGGACACACACAGGAACGCCCTCGACCTTCCCTAGCAACGTATAGAGAATGGGCACAGTGAGGTGCAAGGTCATAGTCGCTTGGTTGACCAAGCACAGGTCCTGCACTGGTCAGTAGTCCTTGGTCCCTGGCTTGGGGATGGGCAGGAGAGGCATGTTCCAAAGAGACTGGCAAGGAACTATAATACCATAGGCTTTCAGGTGTCTGAGATGGACCTGGATGCCCTTAAGAGCTTTCCTTGGGACCCGGTACTGCTTTTGTCTGACTAGGAGTACCCCTGTCTTGACTTTGATAACCACTGGGGCTTGGCTTACTGCCAAACCTGGAGGGTTGTCTTCTGCCCAGACTCATGGCCGTCGCTTGGCCAGCGCAGCGGTTAATTCTCAACCCGATTCAGGCAGGAAGAGTCTCTACTCCTCCTCCCAGGGGACTGTGAGAGCCATGATAATCCATGCCTTAGGCAGTTTGAGCTGCAGGGAGCCCTTATTAGTGAACCTGATAGTAGCTTTTAGTTTGCTTAACAAGTTTCTTCCCAAGAGGGATAGAGGGCAGTCAGGCATGCACAAGAACTGATGTGTAATCTTGTAGCCTCCCACTGAACAGATCCGTGGTAGGCAAAGAACCTGCTTCTCTGAAACTCCAGTGGCCCCAATTATGTCTATTGTCTTGCTGGACAAAGGGGCTACGGGTTGGGTCACCACCAAGTGCTCCCTCTTTCTCTTTCTCTCTTTTTGATTAAGTTTGCCGTTTCACTTGCTGTTACACTAGCTTAGCAGTGTGACACTGTTTGCCCTATCTTAGCTTTCCAGCTCCCACACACAGCTGCGCAGCCAGCTCTCCCGTGTCCTCACGGTGAGCAGTTTAACTCTTGTAATCACTGATTTTCCTTTTTACCTTTTCGTTTGCCACGAGCACTGCTGCAGCTTGACCTCTCAACCACTGCGGCGGGGAGTGGGAAACACTAGCTACAGCCAGCTATTGATGTAGGGGAACTAGTCTGGACGTCCTGGCTTGCCTGTAACCTTATGCCACACTTTGGAGACAAGAGACCTATCTAGGCTTTCTTCTGTGGGCCAGTCTACTTCACACAGTGTTCTGAGCTTCCCTGGTGTTACGGTGATGCCATAATTTCCACGAAATCCCTTCTTGGAATTCTTTAGCATAGTTCCCAGTGGAGTGGGTTTACTCTGCATCTTACCCGTCTCCCTCTGTTAGGATGAGAACAGCACTCCCACGAGGTAGAGGGGCTGCTCACTGACTTTGTCCGATGTTACAGCTCGGGACTTTGCACTCCACCCTCAGTCTCCCGCCTATTACAGTGCACCACTCTTTCTGTTCACCCACTTCAGACCAGTAGGGCCATTCCCCTCGCAGGAGCGTTTCAGACACTGCTTGACGTTGGAGAGTTCGTCACTCCCCTCACAATACCTAGATTGTGAGAGCACCTCCTTCAGCCTTATGCAGCTCACTCCTGGTCCCAGCAGGCCCCACAATTCACTCAGAGCGTACAGCTCACACTAATGGACCTGCGGCCCCCACACTTTGCTGCTGATGAGCCCAATTGGGCCCCTTCACAGTCGTTCACACGCACACACCTCCCACCACCCAAGTTCTGTGAAAACAAGATTACTGAAACCAGTTAGTTACAAAGAGACAAAAATCAAGTTCAAAGTGCCAAGATAGATTGGCAGGTCATGGATGATCAGGCCATGCTTCCACCCAGAAGTGTTGGGCAAGTTTCCCAGGACCGATCCTACCGTGTTTCTGATGTCCAGACCATCTGGACTCCAAGCGCCAGTTCCTTCTCAGTGTTCAGCCTTTGCACGGCTCCACCACGGGGCCTGCCTTGCTGTGCTCTGGCGAAGCGTTCCGCTGGGGCTAATGCCTACGCAGGAGCACTCTCAGGACTGCACTGCCCAAGTGGTCTGAAGTCCCCCATGGGGATGCTCTGCAGGGCAGGGCAAAGCTGCCTGGGAGGCTGTCCTAGCTGTCCACCAACCGAAAACTCGCTTCCCGATCAGGGAACCAAACTGTAGCAGGACATGCAGCAGACAAAACCTCTCGAACAGCGAACTGAGAAAGGAAGTGGCTTTTTATTCAGCTGGGAGCTTCAGCAGGCTCATGCCTCAAGAATCAAGCTCTCCAAAGAGCAGGTCCTTTCCCTTTTTCAAGGGCTTATGGCTTGGAAGGGGGAGCAGAGGTGAAACTGTGTTACTGCCCATTGGCCAGACAGCTGACCTCACAGTCTTTGGCTTTCATTGATTTGCTAATTTATATTTGGTGCATGTGGGAAGGGAAGAAGGGGAAGGGTTACAGGAGCTGAACAAAGGCAGTAAATCACTTGGTGGCAGATGCAACTCTAAGGGGGGGTCTGGATTGCGCAAACATGGAGTATGTGACTGGGACAGGTTCCCGGGTCAGAGGAAGAGCATTCCTCTGCTACATTTTCAAGGTTTACAGATAACGTAGACACCAGTTACAGAAGGGGAGTTATTTTCCCAGCCCTCAGGCCTCACTGCAGCAAGGCCACTGGCATCAGCTTAGTCGCCTGACTGCTGACTTCAGCTTCTTGCTATTTTACTTTTCCTACCAGCAAACAATAGGCAGGAAATGAATGGCTTCCCCTCACACTTGGGCATCAGAGCAGCCTGAGGGCTCCCCAGCCTAGAAGTTAAGCAGGGTCCCAGCGGCAGTTGGGCTTCGGTGGGGGAGTGCTTGAAGAGACTAGGGGCTAGACACTTTTGGTTTGCCACTCCCTCACCGTTTTTTTTTTGCTTGTCACGACGCTTCTCAACCAACTGCTAATTCTCTGGCCCTTCCTTTCCGGCATGTCTGCTCCCCCACCCCGAGGCCAGGGACCTCCCCATGGGGGTCCATCATGGCAGCTGCCAAGTGTAATAGCAGCCTGAGGTCGCCCCAGCTCAGAGCTTAGCCAGATGGGGACTGGCTGGGGCTTGGATGGTGCAATACCTGGGGAGATAAGGGCCTGGAAGCTTTTGGCTTCCTGCACCCTCCTTACTTTCTTGTGCATGTCACAATGCTTCCCAACTAACCCTTGACTCTCTGACCCCTTCTTTTTCATCCCCATGCACCCCTGCTGTGGCCCAGGACCTCCCCATTGCCATTTCAGTAGCCACTGGGCGACATAGCAGGCTGAGGGCTCCCCAGCCCAAAAGCCAAGCAGGGTCAGACCTTGCTGTGGCTTGTATTAAAAACTGCCTGGGGTTACTGTGGGCTGGAGGCTTTTGGCTTCCAGCTCCCTTTCCACTTTCCCTCCTTGCCTCAGTGCTTCCCAACTGCCCCCTTACTTCCTGACCTCCTGTTTCCTGCCGGCCTTTGCTCCGCTGCAGTTCCGGACCTCCCCGTGGGGCTCTGTTTAGGCAACCCCCAAACACCATAGCAGTCTGAGAGTCAGGGCCAGTTGAGAACCGTTGCAACAAGTGGAGAAAGTGGGAAAAGAGCAGGAAGCCAAAAGCCTCCAGCTTGGTCTTTCCACGTGGTACTACATCCATGTGCCAGCGAGTCCCAATCCTGCTTAGCTTCTGGGCTGGGGCGCCCTCAGGCTGCTATGGTGACTGAGGGCTGCTGGAACCACCCCCCATGGTGAAGTCCCAGGTCAAGGCTGGGGAGCAGGTAGGCAGGAAAGAGGGGGTCAGTCAGAAGGCAGATGGGAAGAATTACCAAAAGTAAGGGAATGTGGTAAGTGAGCAGGAGGCCAAAAGCCTCCAGCCACTGGATTCCCCAGGCGGTCCCGTTATCTAAGCCCCAGCCATGACCTACCCTGCTCACCTTCCATGCTGGAGCACCCTCAGGCTGCTATGCTGACAGCAGTCAGCCAGGATGGGCCACCATGGGGAGGACCCAGTCCATGTTGGGAGTGCAAGTTGGAGGGAAATGGTGCCCAGAGAGTCTGGGGATGGTTAAGATGTGTTGCAATGAGCAAGGAAAAGCAGGAAAAGAGCAGGAAGCCAAAAGCTTCCAGACCCAGTCTCCCCAGGCCGTCTGTTTCCCCATCCAAGCATCAGTCAAGCCTAAGCCTGCTTATCTTCCAAGTCCAAGCACCCACAGGCTGCTATGGCCCATGGGGCCTGTCAGGACAAACCCCTACAAAGAGATCCGGGACTGCCAGAATGCCTGTAGGCAGGGGATCAGAAGCTAATCAGGGTGGGGCCTGGCAGGGGCTTGGATGGGGAACTGCCTGGAAAGACTGAGGCTAGAGGCTTTTACCTTTTCTTTTCTTCTCTTTTTTCTTTTTGAGACAGAGTTTTGCTCTTGTTACCCAGGCTGGAGTGCAATGGCGCAATCTTGGCTCACCATAACCTCCGCCTCCTGGGTTCAAGCAATTCTCCTGCCTCAGCCTCCCGAGTAGCTGGGATTACAGGCACGCACCACCACGCCCAGCTAATTTTTGTATTTTTAGTAGAGACGGGGTTTCACCATGTTGACCAGGATGGTCTCGATCTCTTGACCTCGTGATCCACCCGCCTTGGCCTCCCAAAGTGCTGGGATTACAGGCATGAGCCACCACGCCTGGTCCGCTTTTGCCTTTTCACCTTTTTCAAGCTTTCCCCCACTTGTCCCAATGCTCCCCAACTGTCCCCCTTTTTTTTTTTTTTTTTTTTTTAGACGGAGTCTCGCTCTTGTTACCCAGGCTGGAGTGCAATGGCGCGATCTCGGCTCACCGCAACCTCCGCCTCCTGGGTTCAGGCAATTCTCCTGACTCAGCCTCCTGAGTAGCTGGGATTACAGGCACGCGCCACCATGCCCAGCTAATTTTTTGTATTTTTAGTAGAGACGGGGTTTCACCATGTTGACCAGGATGGTCTCGATCTCTCGACCTCGTGATCCACCCGCCTCGGCCTCCCAAAGTGCTGGGATTACAGGCTTGAGCCACCGCGCCCGGCCTGTCCCCTTTTTTTTCCCTTTCCTGGTTGCCTACGCTTCCTCCGAGGCCCAGGACCTCCTCGTGTGGGTTTGTCTTGGCAGCCACCAGGCACCATAGCAGTCCTAGTGCACTGCAGCTCAGAAGTT